ATCTCTGGAAACACTACTTCAATAAGCGAGTAGTAAATGTGTGAACCAGGCTCTCCCTTGGGAGACAGGGAAAGCAGAAAATGTCAATTGTTTCAAGAACAACTTAGATAGATTGTGGCTGGAAAATAATATCAGTTTGGTACACGACACGTCAAGCAACTGCCAGGATAGTGGAAGGCGAACAAGGTGGACCTTGGTCTCATTTCGCCCAGCAAATTCTTATGTTCTTATTTAACTAAACTTAATCGTGTAGGAGTTCTGTCAGCTCAGTGGTTAGAGCGCTCGCCTCGCAAGCAGGAGACCTGGGTTCCATTCCCGGCAGAGCAAAACTTTGGGCAAGTTTCCTTACTCCAGACGCCTCTGTTTACTTCCTATAAGTAGAAATCTGGTTGTTAGTCACTTTTCCAGGGGTAATAATTCCTTTAAAGAAAAATAATAAATTGGTCACTTCAATCCGCGACTGTTTGTGGGACACTGCTGTTGGCTGCCACATTTCGCCCACAATCTTCTGACTCGGAGATTTTCTTAACAGTGTATCATGTGAAATGCTCTGGGACGCCCTCCCCTGACGTGAAAGGATTATGATCAAATATTAAGGTGATTATTGACGCTCCCTCGTTCTCGTTGCTTCTGAACATTAAAAATCAGGCCTGGCACACGTCAGTTTGCTCTGCCCCCGCCACCCCTTCTCCCACCACCCCCACCGGATCAGCAGGGAACATTAATTTGTGGGGATCCAGATGCCAATCTTACCGACTTATCTGCGGTGCTGAAAACTGTCAGTGAAGCCAGATCAGCAGCGGAAGAGTGAAGGATTTTCTCTCTCTCCCTCTTTCTCTTTCATCTCAGAGACAGGTTTGAAAAGCCGAGAAAATTGCCTGTGGAGAGGTTTTGAGAAAGCAACTCCTGTATTTGGGGGCGGGGGGGAGGGCTGTGGATCAGAGCAGTTGCTTATTTTCCGCTGTTTTGGCAAGCTCCATTAAATCTGAAAGCTTACATTAGATTTGATGCGGTAGCAAATAACCGGAGGTGCTGTTTGCAAAGTAATCAGCGTAAGAACTGATCACTAGAATCACAGTGACTTTCACATAGGGAGAACATCTCAAAGCTCTTCTTCGAGTGCAGTGACTGTGTGTTTAACAGTGGTTAAGTGGCAACCAATTTGCGCACATCCCGCAAATGACCGTAAAGTGAGTGAAGAATTTTATTCAGGGGATTCAGGGGATCTTTAACGTCCACCACCTGGATAGGCACAGACGAGAGCTCAGTTTAACGTCTCATCGAAAGGTCAGTACCTCCAACCAATGCAACACACCCCCAGCACCGCACTAGAGCATCAGCCCTACAATGTGAGCTCAAAGTCACAGAGGCTAGTGGAAATCTGGAACTCTCTCCCCCTAAAGGCTCTGGATCCTGGATCGGATTTTCAAGACTGAGGTCGATAATTTTTGTTAGGTAAAGGCTATCCTTCCTGGGCGGGAGAAAACCTTAGGCAAGTTTCCTTACTCAGCAGTAAGTAGGAACCCAGTTTTTTTAGTCGATTAGAGATCGCTTTCTGGGGTTAAGAATTCTTTTAAAAAAATCATTCAACCCACGACTGTTTGTGGGACACTGCTGTGCGCAATTGGCTGCCGTGTTTCGCCCACAAAATATACAGTCAATTCACTGTGAAGTGCTTTGAGACATCAAAGACGTGATAAGGTGCTGTATCAAATGCAAGGATTATTATATCAAGGAATATGAAGCAAAGGCTATGATCTAATAGAATGCTGGAAAAGACTCGAGGCCCTGAACGGTTTACTATGTCCAAAGTCAAGACGTGGAGTTTGAACCCACAAACTTCCGACTCAGAAGCCAGAGTGTTATCCGCCGAGCCAGGCTGGGGTCAGCCTTATCCACTCTGCTGCCTCTCCCCCCAGTTTTTTTCTCTCGATGCTCGTTTGTGTAACGGTATCAGCCTGACTGCTTTCCTCTGCGATGTCTCTAGGACCCAGTGTTACACTCAGCAGAACCGCGCAATGTACTGCAGGCACAACCAGAACCAAGCTTTGCACAGGCAAATCCGGCTGTTTCCTTCGTGTTTTTAATCCTCATTTATACTGTTTGGTTTGTGTACTCTGCCCCCGAGCAACCGTCTGAAATATTCAAATGTTTCCTTTTCATTGCTGTTGTCTTTCCTCTATTTCTCTCCCCTCCCTTCCCGAGGGCGTCCAGGCATAGATCCACCACATCCATCCCTTCCAGTCTCTGACCCTAACTCTCCTTGTTCAAGTGTGAATCTGGACGGGGAGCTTAAGAGAAAATGTTTTCACTCGCAGAGTAAGGTGACGGAGACAGAGTCCGTGGGGAACTAGACAAGCATATGAAGGTTAGAGGCTTGAAGGGGGTGTGGGGGATAAGTGGGGTTGAATTCAGCACAACGGTTGGGCTGAATGGCCTCCTTTTGTGCTGTTAAATTTCGATGGTTCTATCAAGACTATTTGACGCACTGTGTGGGTGTGTTTTTGGGTGTTCGTGTGTGTTTTGGGGTATGTATGTGTGCGTAGGTGCGTGTGTGTTTGTGTGTGTTAAGCGCTCTGGGACACAACCCTGTGTGAGGGCGCTATATAAATGCAAGTTGTTGTGGTGGGTGTGTGTGTGTGTGTGTGTGCTGAGGTAGAGGGGATAAGGGGGTACATTCTATCTTCACCTGACGTTAAGACATACACACCACACACACACACATGCACACGCTCGCGCACCCTATCCTATCTGCTCTACTATTGATATTGCTCTGGGCTTTGCTCTCTATATCCTCACTGGGCTGAAATCCAGACTCTTTGCACCATCTCCTCCTCCAGCTCATCCTTCCTCAGGACAGTGGGACTTCTCCCTCACTCTTCCCTTCCTTCCACACTCTGGAGCCTTTCAAACCCCGAGCTTGATCTCGCCCAATAGCCATTTCCTGAGTTGCCTCACCTTCTCCCCTTGCTCTGTCTAGCTCTGATGGTGATGAAGCCCTCTTTAACCCCTTTTTGTTGGTCAGCCGGGAGTCCTAACACATCACCGCGCTTAAGGGTATCCAAGTCAAACTGAGAATTTCATGCACGCCACCTTCACATGGAAATGCCAGCGATGAGGTTGTTGGAATGGAATGCGCTCTCTCTCCCTGGAGGCACGCGTCCTGCTTACCTAAAATGAAATACTTCCGAAACTATTAGGCGCAGGTTGGCAAAAGCCAAGGCTTGGGCACCCCATAGTGTGTTGGGTGCTCCTGGAGTCTAACCAGTTAATTCTTTAACCCTTCTCTTCCTGGGCTTCTCAACGAAGCTGATGCCTAGTTCCTCTCTCGAGGGATAAAAAAATTTGTTCAAGACTTTTCGCAAGGAAGGCAATTTCTTGCTGAAGCTGAATCCCAGCCCCGAGAGAGAGAGAGAGAGAGGAACATAAACACAGAGTCTCAAGTGTGTTTGGATTTGTGTGACTGGGTTTGGTCCTGTGCATCACTGTGTGACCAGATACAGTCCAGGGCAGCCTGCTTCCCTCAGGCCTCTGAAAGTCACAGGACATGTTCCATGGCGAACTCACCAAATGGGGGTGGGTTGTGTGTAAATGGCGACGTTTCTGTGTGAGTAAAGATCTGCCTGGGTTTCCTCGTGCGTTTGCTCTTTAGCAAACTCCGAACAGCAGTAAGCGGCGGGAGGAGGGGGGGGAATCGATTTAGACTATCGTGTTGTGTTGCGCTGTGTTGAATAACGATAGGAACTGTAACACAGACACCACCAGTCTGCGATTGTTTCAGAAGCGGACAAGAACAAGGGCTGCTTGGTTTTGGTTCCTACAGTCCGCACTCTGTGCCTAGTTTCTCTCCGCATTGATTATCTCTCTGAGAGCATCGCGTGGCAGGGTGTAAAAGGCGCCATTTGCCTTAAAAAGACAATAATCATTTGCTCGCTCAATCCACGGCTGTTTGTGGGGACGCTGCTGTGCGCAATTGGCTGCCGCGTGTCGCCCACAAAATGTACAGTCCATTCACTTTACAATGGATTCTGTGAAGCGCTTTGAGACATCTCAAAGACGTGATGAGGCGCTGTATCAAATGCAAGGACTATTATTATTATTATCCATTCTGTCCAGTGAGTATGCCAGTCTTCTGCTCACTGTACTGCCCAGCTCTTTCCAGAACTCTGCAGCTCGTATCCTTTCCCGCACTAGATTCCGAGAGTCAAATCACCCCCACCCTCGCCCGGCTCCACTGGCTCCCCATCCCCCAGTGGATCGAGTTCAAGGTCTCGTCCTAACCTTTAAATCTCTCCGCAGTCTTGCCCGACCCTACCTCTGTGACCTCCCACAACCTGACCGACCGGCCTGCTTCATACCCTCAGCCTCGGTGTGGTGGGGTGATCTCTCAGCCAGTCTACTCCTGTTGTCTGGAAATCCATCCTGGAGTCCTTCCACCTCACTTTCCACTTTTCCCACCTTTCAAACCTACCTTTATAATATCGCTTTCAGTCATCAAGTGTTTTGATAATCAGCCCAACGTGAAAGATGCTGTATGTCTAAATAAAACTTGTATTGCAATACAACAACAGCAACCAAATGGTATTTTTATAGCGCCTTTCACGTTGGGAGGACGTCCCAGGGCGCTGGACAGTCGGAGTTTCGGACCCGAACTGGGAGGGGTCAGGATCGGGGAGGGTGGGGGGGAAGCAGGGAGTTCGAAAGCACGGTCGAAGAGGAGGGACATGAGCGCACTCTGTTTCTCCTCGGCTGGAAAGGAAATGGAAACACTCCCAACCCACAGAACATCAGAGAAAGCGAGACACTGTGGCCACAGAGTGGCCTTTGCCAGCGGTCAGCATGTTAACCCGAGGTCCTTTCTCCCTCCCGGCACAGCAATACTCTGCAAACGGTCGTGAATTGAGTGACCGCATTTTTTTTTCTCTCTCACAAACGCTTTTCGATGGCCCGCGGTTGGGGGCTGTGCTGACCCTCTCGGTCTCTTGTCTCTTTGCCCACAGACGTGTTTGAAGAGACGTCCAGGCTGTGGGCTTGTCTCACCATGAGGCCGGCCGGCTGCCTGCTCCTCACCGCCATCTCCGCGCTGGCTGCCGCCACCTTCCCGGATGACAGCGGACCCCTCAGCCACGCCTCGCCCGACTGTGAGTACCCCGGGGTAGGAGGGGGGGGAGAGAGGAGAGAGGGAGAGGGTGGGGGGTGAGGGGGCAGGAGGAGAATAGGGACTGGGGAGCTGAGAGGGTCAGGGAGGGCATGTTGGGGAGCGAGGGTCTATGAGGGAGTGGAGTGGGGGGCCAGAGAGGAAGTGGGTCGGAGAGGGGATGACGGGGTTTGGGTTGGTAGTGTGGGGGAGTTTGAGGGTTGGGAGGTCAGGACGAGAGGAAGGTGGGAGGTGGGAAAATGAGTGGGGTGGCGGGAGAATGGAGAGATGGGGTTTGGTCGTGAAGGAGTGGGGCAGGGGAGATGGAGAGGGGATGAAGGAGCGGGCTTGTGGTGAGGGGGTTGGAGGCCCCCCTCCTGTGTTGAAGATCTACTGTGTCTCACGGAGGTTCAAACTATTCTTAAGTTCCTCGCTCAGTGATATTTCACCTGTAAGACTGTAGCTCAGTGGTTAGAGCACTCGCCTCAACCTGCGTTCGATTCCCGGGCAGGGCGAAAAGTTGGGCAAGTTTCCTTACTCCACACATGTTTACCGAGCAGCGAGTAGGAACCTGGTTGGTATTCGACTGGCGGATCGCTTGACCAGGGTAATAATCCCTTCAAAAATAAATAAATAAATAACGAAATAAATAAATAAATAAATTCAAGAATTTGATCACTCAATCCCCGACTGTGTGTGGGACGCTGCTGTGCACAATTGGCTGCCACGTTTCGCCCGCTAAATACGCAGTATATCCAGTGAAGCGCTTTGAGACGTCTCGAAGACGTGATAAGGCGCTGTATCAAATGCAAGGATTATTATTATTATTATCATTATAGTCACATCGCAGCCCAGTCCAGCCCCCAACCAAGAAGGCTGAAGGCTGGCACATTTAACCCTTCTGTAGCCTAATTTCCCTGAGTGTAATGTACTGCCCTCCCTTGGTTGGCTGAGATCAGCTCCCTCATCACAGAGTACTACTCTGTGGTCTGTGTTTAGAGCACACAATGGATTCACCAAGTGAGCTGTCATTGGGATAAATTCAGATATATTTCAGTGAATTTTGCAATAACATTGAAAAATGTAGAACACTGCTACAGTACAGTGCAGAAGTGACTTGGAATCGCATAGTCTAAGCTGACACTTGGCCAATCAAGCCTCTGCCGGTTTACAAAGCCAGGAGATGTCTTCAATCCCACCACCCCACCTTATCCCCATTCCCCCTTCAAACCCCCTCTCCATCACATGCCCACACGACACACTATTCATCCACCAAAAAGGTATCAATCTGATTCGAGCACGCAGCCTGAATAATGTACAGACAGCATACACAAGACAAGAGATGAGTTGTGGTTTGTCAATAACACTCTATAATAATTTCAGGACAGACACCGGGAAGTATTTCTTAATCCCAGAGGGTAATTAACCGTTTCGCCCACAAAATATACAGTCGAGACGTCTCGAAAATGTGAAAAGGCACGATTTAAAATGCGATGATTATTATTATTAATATTATTAACAACAACCGAAACAGGGTTAGCAGGAAGGGGTGGTTGAGGCCAGGACACTGGGACTCCTTTAAGAAATAGCTTGATGGCTGTCATACAACGATGGCAGGTTGTGGGCATTCGGGAGGGAACAGATCAAATGGGCCAAAGAGACTTCATCATCCAAACCTCCCTAGTGAAGACTGGAAGTTTGGTGAAACAAATTCTGAGTGCAGAAATGAATCTATTTCATGAGGAGGAAGCACTTAATTTGAAAGGCTTTGAGAGGATAAGTATTGGAGGATTATAACCCCAGGTGGGAAATCAGTAACCAGGGAATATAAACTCCAGACTCATCACTGGAGGAGGTGAGAGGTAGTTGGCATTGATCTGTCACAGCGAGCTATTAGCGTGTAGAGCTCCTTGTCACGAGTGTCTCTTGAAACTGAGAACCCCGACGTTTACAAAGGGGAATATGAACAGGAGAATAAGAGGATAGAGGGAAGGAGCAGGGGATTTCGATTAGAGCAAACATCAGAGAGGTCAGGGTTGAACACTGTTCAGCATTTTATTACATAGTGTTGTGTACAGAACATAAACAGGCTATTTGGCCCAATTAGTCGGTGCCGGTGTTTATACTCCACACAAGTTCTTACCCACTCCATTTTCCCTCCCATACCCTTCTCTTCCCCTCTCCCTTGTGTGGATATTTAGCTATTTGATTCAACCAGCATTTCAGGCAGCGAGTTCCACAATCTCACTACCCTTTGCATGAAGTTGTTTCTCCTATGTTCTCTTTTAGATTCCCTATTTGCTCTCTTACACTTGTGTGCCCTGGTTATGGGCTCCCCATCCAGTGGGATCAGCCTATTTATGCTAAACTTAGCAAATCCTTTTTATAAGATGAATTTGCTTTCCTTGCGGAGATTAAGTGTGGGGCTATGATCAAGACTTTTAAAATGCTGAGCGACGTAGCGATGTGGTTGTCAACAGACTATTTTTGACTTGAGAAATGCACAAACCACAGAGATCATAAAATAGACTTTATCTCTTTAAAGAGTAGCAGTCATGCGGAACAGACTCAGCACAAACCTGTTTAAGTGTCAATTTGATGCCTTCAAAAAAATCATTGAATCGCAGAAATTTACAGTGCATTCTTAGCGCTCAAATATTCCCTTCAAAACACGGTTACTACACTTTACAATAAATCCTGTGAAGCGCATTAAAGGTTACTCCTGACGTGAAAGGTATTGTATCAAATGCAGGATTTTTTTTTAAATCCTAGCATTTGGTTCAGTGCTTTTCACATCAGAAATAAGTCTTGAAGTACTTGAGAGGATTTTTATTGTAGGTACAGCGACTGTGTATTTTGTAGGTAGTAGTTAATTTGTACACGGCAATGTCTCACAAACAGCTGTGAAATGAATGACCAATTTTATTTGGGGGATTGGGAGACACTCTCTTCTCTTTTCAAACAGGCAGACGGGACCTCTGTTTAACGTCCCATCTGGAGGATGGCACCTCCCAACAATGCAGCACTCCCCCAGCACTGCGTTGGAGTTTCATCTTAGCCTATGTGATTCCAAGCCCCGACTTGGGGCTTGAACCCACAATCTGACTCAAAGGCGAGAGTGCTAGCGACTCAGCCGGGCTGACACAATATTATTTATTGTAAATACAAGTGTATTTCCCCAAATAGCAACTTGAGCCAGCGCAGAAAAGCATAGCCTTGATTAGGCTTAATGGCCTGCTTCTGTACTGTTATTTATACAGTTGTGATTTTGTTTGAGGTCCGTAACGCAATCGGCTATTCATTTCCCACGTACTGTGAATCGGGTACAGGAGAAACAAACCACGCGCCTCACAAACCCTGGATGTATTGGCTGAACCGGTACAATGTCGAGTTGAAGCACAAAGCAACAACGCACTTAAGCAATCGAGTAGCAGACAGAGCGAGTAACACCCAACTGCCCGACAAGGAAAAAGGAGGCACTTGAGCTGCCGATGGTAATGAAGAAATGAATGGCTCTCAGAGAAGAGACAGAGATGAGCAACTCCTTGCTGTCATCCCCCCCTTTAATAACCTCAGCCCGGGGCACGATCACGAGGGTGTAGTTAGATTCATCTTATTGTTTAAGTGCCTTTTGAAAGGACCACCCTGACAGACATGAGGAAAATGACCCCTTTCACCTCACGTATTTGTTTCCATTGCTCACACTGCGTCTCCGCCATTGACTGAAGGCAACAGTGGAGTGCTGCGTTGTGAGAAGGGCCCCCCACCCCCATGTCGGCTCCTCCCCGTCAGCCAACCTCTAGGAAGTGGCTGAACAGAGGCTTTGTTCCCATTGTGAGGATGGGGGGCGGTGGATCACGGTTAGGGTAGAGGCTTCGGGTGCGTGTTTAGACAGGAGTCGTGTCAGCCAAAGGCAATGATTATTCAAGCTGCAGCGTGAATGCAAGTTATCATTTAGAATGGCAGAGAAGGTTTCCATTGAAAGGAATAATGTTTGGCTCTGAGTTGAGTGACATTTCGGGTGGGATGGGAACCTTTAAGAAGCCCACGATGGTTGACATGGCTTTTCATGTGACTTGCCGTGTCTCTGTTAACGGCAGCTATTGAGAAGCAAGAGGAAGTCAAGGGTCCCACCCAACATGTGACTTTCCCAAATCAGAATTCCGTTTTTTTTTGCACCTGGAGTTTGCAGGACACAACAAACATGATTTCTTCCAATAATCCTGATCTCAAATCCCAAAGAAAGGCTGGAGTTCTTTTTTCCGGCATTTATTTGTTGTTTCAGGCTGCGCGTAGGTAGGAAAACGGTTTAAGCAGTATCTGGGGATCGTAAACCAGTAAACGCTGACTGGCTCGCCCCCTCCCTCACCACCTGCAAGATTCGTCTCAAGACCCTCCTCTTCGACCGTGCTTTCGATCTCCCTGCTTCCCCCCCACCCTCCACTCTCCCCCACCCCGACCCCCAGCTCAGGTCCGTAACTCTGTCTGTCCAGCGCCTTGGGACATCCTCCCGATGTGACAGGCGCTTTACAAATGTAATTTTGTTGTTGTTCTTGTTGTTTGCGAAGGTGGCATTTTTAGACCACAGAGTACCTTTGTTCATTCTAAAACTGTGAAGCCCTCCTCTCCCTCACTCTCCCCTCCCATCCCTCCTTCCTCTCCTCTTGCTCGTTCTATTGCTCACTCTAGAGGTCCATTACTATCTAGATTATCCCTAATGGAAGGTGAGTTGGCATCAGGCCAGGGTAGGATGGGGATAAGCCTGACACTGTCACCCAACTCAAAGCTCTCTCGTGAACAAGGGTCAATTGGGGAATCCTATCAGAGGAGGAAGCTGTGCTTGTGGAACTGTAACTCGGGAAGAAATGAAGCTTGTGTAGAGTATACGGAGGGGAGACTGAGGGAGGGGAAGGGACAGGGAGGGAGGGAGGTGAGGAGTGTTGTAGAGTCTAGAAGAAAGGAAAGAGTACCACAGACTTAAGGTCCTGTGAAAGAATGATTAGAGGAAAAGATGGGTGTTGATTTGAACGCAGAGAGGACTCGCAGTGGAGGGAGTGTGTAGGAACAGAACGAACAGATTAGGACCTGCGGCGTTGGTTGCCCAGGAACATTAAATATTCGTCCTTTAATTGGTGGGACTCCATCGGGTTGAGGAGCAAAGTGGGATGGGGGGGAAACTGGCAACGGACATCCAAACTGAAGTCCGCGTCTCTGTCTCTCTCAAGCGGAGAGTTTAATGGAAATGGACGTCTGACAGTGATGGATTACAACAGGTTGACGAACAGATGTAGAGTCTGAGAGCACAGACGCTGGAAAGCCGGAGAGAAAGACCGAAGCCAAAGGCTCGTTTGCTCCCAATACCGAGCCGACGGTTCGAACTTCAAACCAACTCATTTCAAAGCCGTGAAAAATCTCAACCCTCCTTTAAACCCTGAGAGTTGGATTGCAGGTTGATGATTCCCCTTTCTTGCCTCTTTGGTTGCTGGCTGGAGGATACGGAGAAATGTCAGTCTCCCTGGGCCGACCGGTTTTAGTGCGCTTTTCAATTCCCGCATCGTTGACTGTGAATATCGCAGCGATAAATCTCCTGAAATGTCACAAGCATTATTAATAGCTAAATGCTTGCAGCGCAATTTCAATCTGAATGAGAAATAAAAACATGGGAACGCTTCACTTCTGCTAGTCTTGCGTTCTTTTGCCCTGTTTTCTCTTCCTGCCCAATCATCCTTTCCAGAGTTACCTGGTGCCGTTTAGTGTTTAATTAGCAGGTGTCAGCCTGGCTCAGCAGCTGAGTCAAAATGTTGTGGGTTCAAGCCCCAACGTCAAATTTTTGTGCTCACACTCTGGGCTGACACCCCAGTACATTGCTGGGAGGTGGTGTTGGATTATCAGAGGTGCCGTCTTTTGGCCGAGACGTTAAACCGAGGTCCCATCTCCCTGTCCAGGTGGACCTTAAAGATCCCATGACGCTAATCGTAAAGAGAAAGGAGTTTCTTTCTCAGTGCCCTGCACTACATTCCACTGGATACATTTGTTCATTCACTTCATATCTGTTTGTGTGACGTTGCTGTGTGCAATTTGCCTGCCGACAAAATACACAGTCACTACACTTTAGAGTATACCCTGTAAAGTGTTTTGAGGTGCCCTCCTGACGCGATAAGGTGCAATATCAAATGCAAGGTATTATAAGCAGTATTTTCTGAAACTAATCTGTTCTCAACCACTTAGAGGTTTAGAGAAATAATTTCACAGCTTCTGCCTCTCAGAGCAACTTTCAAACAAACTGATCACTTTAAAGGCCAATGGGAAGCTTACTTTCTTCTGAGAGAGGTAGGAGGTCCACAGCAAGTCTTCTCTGACTTGTCGGGGAGTCCAAAACTACAGGCGTAAACATAAGGGAACAATTGGTGGCAAGTCCGAAATAATGATACATAAGAGCCACAAACGGATCTAACAGGGAGTTAAGGAGGAACTTCTTCACACAGAGGATGGTGAGAATGTGGAACTCACTGTCAGAAGCTGTGATTGACGCAGAAAGCATCAACGTATTTAAGAGGAAACTTTATGCTCACTTGTGTGAGGTAGAAGGGAGCCGAGGGGAATAGGAGGGGCCAAAGGCTCGTGTGGAGCAAAAACACCGTCACGGACCAGTTGCGCCAAATGGCCTGTTTCCGTGCAGCATCGCTCTAGATAGATCCTGGGGGATAAATGCAGGAATAGACCATTCAGACCCTCGAGCCTGTTTGGCCATTCTATAAGATCATCGCTGATCTGTACCTCAACTCCAATTACCAGAGTACCAGATTTCCACCAGCCTTTGGTGGAAAAACTGCCTCCCGATTTCACTCCTAAAAGGCCTAGCCCTGATTTTAAGATGACGCCCTCCTCTTTCTGGATTCCCCCACCCACCAGAGGAAATAGTTTCTCTGTAGCTACCGCTATCGAATCCCTTTAGCATTTTAAACACCTCAATTCGCTCACCCCTCAACCTTCTGTACATTTTCCCCCAAGCACCATAGCATTGATACCAGAGAACAAAGCGAACATGTTAAAGTGTTAAAGCTTCTCAAATATCAGGGTTAATGATGGTAATGACTTCCTGTACTGCGGGGGTCCTGGGGGGGGCGGGGGAGGGGGCGGTGAGAGCATGTGTGCTGACCCACTGTCTCTGTCTCTCTCTCTCTCTCTCTCCCCTCTCCCCAGATATGAAGCAGTACACGGTCTTCACAGGACTCGGGCTTGGGGGGAGCGAGGAGCTGACGGAGAGACTGAGCATTCAGCGGATCCTCAGAGTCAACCGTACTCTCTTCATCGGCAGCAGGTAAGCGGCTCACGGCCAGGACCACCCACCGCGGAGGAGGACACGATAGTCATGGAGTCCTGTAGCTCAGCGGTTAGCGTGATCGCCTCTCAAGCGAGAGGACCCGGGTTCGATTCCCGGGCGGGTCAGGGTGAAACCTTAGGCAAGTTTCCTTACTCCACACACACACACACGCCTCTGTTTGCCCGGCAGTAAGTAGGAACCCGGTTGTTAGTCGATGGGCAAATGCGCTTTCCGGGAAGGGAAATAATCCGTTTTTTTTAAAAAAATTACTCAATCTACAACGGTTTATGGGGCGCTGCTGTGTGCAATTTGCTGCTGTGTTTCGCCCCAAAAATACACAGTCAATTCACTTTATAGTATATTCTGTGAGGAGCTTTGAGACGTCTAAGGCAAGGATGATGATTATTATTATTATTATAGTCAGTAAATGAATTGCGACACCCTGAACTGGAATTTGTGGTTGTTTTCCTCCTGACATGAAAGACGCTCTATAAATGCAATCTTATTGTTTTTGTTGTTTTTTGTTGGCTGGATTTTTTCCGAGATTGGTGGGGGGGGTAAGGGGAGATTCGTTGGCATTTAGTGAATCTCACAATCTCCCATTGATGCCCCAATGCCACACTTCTTAACAGTGGGATCGTGCCTTTGCCCACCCAAAGCTGCCACGCCTTTACGTTGGCACAGATCACTGCCCCGTCGGTAAGAGTAAAGTGCTAAGCCTTGAGTGTCAGGGGAATGGCAAACACATTCTGGCGGGCATCATTATATAGTCGGTGGCGTTACCCCAGAGACTGTCGGAGTTCAGCCCTCAGTTCAATTGAGTTAACCCTCTCTCCCCTCCCCCCCCAACTCAGGGTCAGGGGGTTCACAGTTCCAGCAGGTGTCCAGTTCCTGAGACCTTTCCCCCCAAGGGCTGCTATAACACAGCATATAGCCCCTGGGTGTTATTTTCCACCCATCGCTGTAGGTCATGGGGTTCAAGAGCAGGGAACTGACAGATGAGGAGCAGATGGGTTACATGAATGAACACACAAACACAGCAACACCTGACTGGTTGTGAACACACAAACACACACATACAAACACACGCACGCATGCATGCACACAGCAATACTTGACTCTGTGAACACAAACACACACACGCAGGAACACTTCACTGAGCCACAGAATAAAATAATGAAGGGCACCTGTAATTCCCTGTGTGCTCAGCTCATGCTTCACACAAGACGGATAATACACCCCTTTGCGTAAAGTTTACCAGTGATTTATGCACAGTGGTTACCCAGAGTTTACACATGCTTCACACGTGGTGCATAATACACTGTTTAATGTTAAATGTGATGTTAAAGTCTGTGACACTTGGGGAGTGTCACAGACTTTGGAGGTGGTTATGGGCTCTGACCGAGTTTTCCTCGAGCGATGCTTCGGGCATGTGAGAGAGAGCTGATCACTGAGCCACTGAGCGTGCAAGAGATCAATAGATTTTATTGCCCATTTATTGTTCTCAGCCTTCCTCCAACCCTCACTCCTCTCCTCTCGCTCCGCTCTCTCTTCTCACTCCTCTCTTCTCACTCTCTTCTCCCTCTCCTCTCACTCTCTCCTCTCACTCATCTTCTCTCCTCTCACTCTCTCATCTCACTCCTCTCCTCTCACTCCTCTCCTCTCACTCCTCTCCTTTCACTCTCTCCTCCCGCTCTCTCCTCTCACTCTCTCCTCTCCTCTCACTCTCTCCTCTCCCTCTCTCCTCTCACTCTCTCCTCTCCTCTCCCTCTGTCCTCTCACTCTAGAAGCGATTAGACAAGCTTGGGAGGCTCTTCAGTCTTGAGAGAAAATGTCTCAGAGGTGGTTTTATCAGAGGAGTTCGAAATCTTAAATGGGATTGAAAAAGTAAACCCAGATCAGTACTTTCGGATGCACCGAGACAGCAGAACAAGAGGACACAGGTTTAGAGTTGCAAAGGGCAATTTCAGGACAGGCACCAGGAAGTTGTTTCGTTACCCGGAGCATAATCATATATAAATATTAAGTATATTAAGTATATTTATATTAAGTGAAGTGCTTCAAGACGTCACAACGACATGATAAAGCTCTTTATCAAATGCAAATGTTATTATTATTAACGACTGGAACAGGTTACTAGGATAGAATGATTTCACCCTCGACCCACCCTACCCCACCCCCACCCCTCTCGCCAGAACGCACCTTGAAAAGGGGAACAGGAAATATAAATCCAGATTCCCAGTCCAAATTGCTCGGCTAATGGTAATAATGATTGATTTGCTTCCAGATGTAAACTCCGGCAGCTCAGTTGCAGGAAAAGCTTTCCAAAACCCTCAACCCTCAGGCGGGGACGGAACCTGAGCTCATTGTCTCATAAAGTTCGACTAGACATCTTCTCCTCTTGGGTATTTTTCTCTCCCTCCTTCCCCCCACCCCCCACAACCGTCCCCCCACCACCCAGTTTCCGCTCCCCTCAATATTGCCAGGGGTTAAATGAATCTATGACTCACTTAGGACAATCTATCCTGTACCAGACACAGCCCGATGCAGTTAATTGTAACAATCCCCCAAATAAAATTGGTCTCTCGGCTGTTTGTGGGGCACTGCTGTGCGCAAACGCTCTGCCGCGTTTCGCCCACGAAGCAACACAGTCAATTCACTTCACAGTATATCCTGTGAAGGGCTTTGAGACGGCTCAATAGTCGGATAAGGCACCGTATCAAATGCAAGGATTATTTTTATTATTATCATGAAATCAGCCGAACTGAAGAGCTTCATAGCAGGGGAGTGAGACTGAGCCTTTCTGCTAAGTGTCCGTCATCACCGAAAGGAGAGAGAGAGGGAAAACGAAGCGAGAGGCTTTGCAGAAGCCTAAGGGAGGCAGGGCGAGGGTTTGGGGGGGTGGGATAGAGAGGCGGGGAGGGGGTCAGGTTACCAGACCTGGGGCTAGCGGGAGGAAATGGATACTTCACTGGATAGCGTTGCTACAATACAGTCTACACGATAGGAAAATCTCAGCATGTGTTTTTTTTGGGAGGGAGTAACAGGCAGTGAGACGCGAGTCGATTGCAATTAAAAGTATCATCGATCACTGACTCAATCGGCAGTGACTCAGAATGCCAACCGAACACGACACGGAATGTCTAGTTCCTTACTTAAAGCACTATGTGACTCGCTAAAGCTGCTCTGAATGGGCCAAGTCTAAAGTCTTGTTTCTCTTGCCCCACATCCCCTTCTTCCTGCCCCCTCTACCTCCCATTTTCCCCCAACCCCCCCGTACCCCCCCACTTCAATCAACCTGGTCACTTTATTTCCTGGTTTTACAAAATGGTCAGATTGTCAGTCTGTAAATCACACCATCAGCCTGTGACCTCTGTCTGTCTCCTTTTTCCCCCTCCCCTTTTCCACCCCCCAACACTCAATATTGCCGGGGGGGGAGAATTAATCTTTAACGTACTGAGAGCAATCTACCCAGCTACAGACATAGCCTGATGCATTTAATTATTTGAGTGAGTATTTCTGCACCAGTGCTCCCCAATCCCCACCGGTAATTAAGGGAATGCTGGAATGCAAAGCCTCTCTCCGCTAGTCAAACTTGAAGGAGTCCTGTAGCTCAGTGGTTAGAGCGCTCGCCTCGCATTCGAGAGGATCTGGGTTCGATTCCCTGGCGGGGCGAAACCTTAGGCAAGTTTCCTCACACACGCGCGCCTCTGTTTACCTAGCCGTAAGCAGGAACCCGGATGTGTGACGATTGGCGGATCACTTTTCGGAGGTAATAATCCCTTTTGAAAAATAATAATAATTTGGTCACTTCAATCCACGACTGTTTGTGGGACGCTGCTGTGCGCAATTGGCTGCTGCGTTTCGTCCACAAAATATACAATCACACTGCAAAATATAAAACATACTTTACAGTATATCCTGTGAAGCGCTTTGAGACGTCTCAATGACATGATAAGGCGCTATATCAAATGCAAGGATTATATTTGATTAATCCTGAACGAGGCGTTATAACTGGATTCCACTGGATTTTGTTCTGCAAACTCAATGAGATGCGAATCAGGCATCAGTCTGGCTCAGAGGGTTAGCACTCTTGCTTTTGGGTCAGAGAGTTCAAGCCTCACGTCAAGGTTTGAGCTCTCAGTCTCGGCTGACACGCCAGTGGGGAGACAGTGGGCCGCTCTACATTGTCGGAGAAACTGTCCTTCAGCTGAGACGTTAAACTGATGACTTGTCTGCCTGCTCAGATGGACCTCAAAGATCAAATGAGAAGGGTTATCTCTACCAGTGTTTTCCCCAATGCGTTAGTCATTCACAGCGAAGAAACTTCTGTGCATAACTCTAATCCGTGCTGTTGCTGCCCTGGGAGTAGGGACGGAGAGCGCAGACTTGTAGAATGAGCTTCACTGTGCTGCACTGGTCTGGGAGTGTGGACAGACAGTGTAGAGGGAGCTTTGCTCTGTCTCTAACCTGTGCTGTTGCTGACCTGAGAGTGTGAACGGACAGTGGATCCCGTAGCCCATTTTCAGCAGCGATTTATTGCCCCTCATGTCAGAGGTCCCAAATTTCAGCCCAGAAATATGGAAATACTAAGTTTTCCCTCTCTCTCTCTGCCTGGCTGAGTTAGGCTTTGATCGTATCGTGAAATCTCCCTGACGTTTGTGTTGTCCAAACAGCTTCTAAGTATGCGTGCGGTTACATGAGCAGCTATTAAACATGCACATAAATAAGAGTGATTAGAACGGAATGATCAAATAGGAATGGAACAATTAATTAAATATGTAGCGTTCCAATGTGTGAATAAGGTGATTAATTATGTGCATGAATTAAAAATAAGGCCGGCTTCAGTGTCAGCTGGATTGATCTCTTGCTGTGCGGGGGTTGGGGTCTGAGACTACTCGATTTTCAACCACCCCTCCCACACACATTCACACACACACATCCCCCCTCCCCCCCACACATACACCCCACCCCCACTGCGACACACATATACACACACATCTCCCATCCATCCATCCCCCCACTCACTCACCCACACATACACACACACATACACACCCATACACACCCCTCCCCCCCACTCACACACACATCACCCGCCCCCAAAAAACACACACATACACAGTGCTAATTTCTGATCTCTTCTCAGACCAGTATGTAGATGACCAAGGCACGAGATTCAACTTGTGCTGAATCCTCGTAAAATTAGCCCATTGTCATTGGGAAACGACCGCTTTTGGCTCAATAGATGGATAGAGTGGGTCACGCATCTAGGGTCACAGCGTAGGACTTCAAACGCCTAAGAGAGGGCGGATGAGATCATCAGTTTGTGGTTAGGTAATGTCGGGAAAGGGAAGAGCGAGAGAGGTGAGGAGTACAGTAGCGTGTAGGAGGAAGGGAACAAAGAAACTGTGTATTTTCGCCCACAAAATATACAGTCAATTCACTTGACAGTACATCCTTTGAAGCGCTTTGAGACGTTTCAATGATGTGATAAGGCGCTGTATAAAATGTAAGGATTATTATTAAGAGTGAAGGAGGTGAGGAGTGTTATAGAGTGTAGGAGGGAGGGAAGAGGGAGGGAGACGAGGAGTCCTGTAGAGTGTGATACAAGCCGTGATGAAACAGCTCATGGCTTCCCTGCGTTATCACCCAGGATGGGGTCAGTGATCTCAGTCCAGAGCAGGGATCATAGCTGGGCCTCTGTACTGGCTTAGCCCACACTGAGCTACAGGGGAAGCTGTTCCCTGGGATGTCTGCAGAATAGCTTGACTGAAATCAGTGACTGAACTGAACAGGGACAGAAGGGATCAGATCGCAGAGGGAACAACAGTCGTGCGGTGACTTCAAAATAATCCATAAAAATGCTTCGTTAGCTTGAAGAACATTACTTTAATTTTTATTCAGCTTCATAACCATTGCTTGTGCAACATCCACAATAATTGCTCGAACTTAACTGTATGTTTCCAAGGAGCCCTGTAGCATAGTGGTCAGAGCACTCGCCTCGCAAGTGAGAGGACCCAGGTTCGATTCCCGGCAGTGCGAAACCTTAGGCAAGTTTCGTTACTCAACACGCCTCTGTTTACCCAGCAGTAAGTAGGAACCCGCTTGTTAGTCAATTGGCGGATCACTTTTCAGGAGGTAATAATTCCTTCAAAGAAAATATTTGAGGCGGCACTCAATCCACGACTGTTTGTGGGACACTGCTGTGCTGCCGTGTTTCACCCACAAAATAGTCAATTCACTTTACAATGTATTCTGTGAAGCGCTTTGAGATGTCTCAATGACATGATTGAGTGTTTTCATGATTTCTTTCTTGAATGAGTCCCAGTGTGTTGGCCTCAACCATCCTTTCTAGCGACCCTATTACAGTCACTAACTGCACTCTGGGTAAAAGATATACTTCCTGGTCTCTGTCCTGAAATTGTCCTTTACAGGCTTGAAACTGTGCCCCCTTGTTCTGCAACCTTGAACTGTCCGAACCTATTGTCCCCAGTTTATTTTCATCCATTTCAGAACCTTAAAAGTGGAACTTGGAGTCCTGTAGCTCAGTGGTTAGAGCACTCGCCTCGCAAGCGAGACACCTGAGTCTCCCCTCTCGACTCTCTTCCCCCTTCTCGCTCCCTCCCTCCCCTCACCCTGACCATTTCCCCCCTCCTCGCTCCCTCCCTTCCCTCCCCCTGACCATTTCCCCCCTGCTCGGGTCATGACCCAACTGTGCAGTGCCTTGGGACGTCCTCCTGACGTGAAAGGCGCTTTATAAATGGAATCTTGTTGTTGTTGTTGTTGTTCACTTCCCAGCAGGGCGAAACCTTGGGCAAGTTTCCTTACTCCACACACCTAATAATAATCCCTCCAAAAAAACAAAGCAATAATAAATTGGTCATTTTCAATCCACGGCTGTTTGTGGGACACTGCTGTGCGCAATTGGCTGCTGCGTTTCGCCCATAAATATACAGTCAATTCACTTTACAGCCTATTCTGTGAAGCGCTTTGAGACTTCGAGAGGACGTGAAAAGTGCTATATCAAATGCAAAGATTATTATTATTATTATACATCTCTATGAAGTGCCTTCTTCCCCCACTGGCCTCCACCCTTTATTCAAAACTAAAGCTCATCTAAATGGTTCTCACATGAATTAGAATAGGGGTGTGGGGGGGAGGGAGAGATGACTCCAGGCACCTTTGAACCCCAACACCAAACGCCGCATTGCTCTTCACGAGATAAGATCTGAACTTCTGATGAATACATGGCACATGAATGGGTTTGCACAATAGTGCTTTTGAGGGTGACACTACTTCACTTGTGCAGTGGGGTGGAAAGATCAGAAATAAAGTACAAACTGCTCACTGTGCAGTGCCCTCTGTGAAGGAGATGAGGGTTGTTTCTTCCCATGATGTTGAGTCTGGGAAGAAACAAACAGTCCTGCCCGGGTACATAGCTCCTCATCAACATCCCAAGGCGCTGTGTACCTACAGTGTTTCCTACCCGAGCTGGGGGTCGGGATCGGGGAGGGTGGTGGCTAGGTGGGGAGAAGAAGAGTGACCAAAGGCACGGTCAAAGAGGAGGGTCTTGAGATGGGTCTTGAATGAGGCAAGGGAGGGGGCGAGGCGGAGGGACTATGGGATTGAGTTCCAGAGGGTTGGGGCAGAGTGGCAGAAGGCATACCCGCCTTATAACCTACATCAACTCCCACAAAATAAACAGTCAATTCACTTTACAGTATATTCTGTGAAGCGCTTTGAGACGTCCCGAAAACGTGATCGGGGGCTATATCAAATGCAAGGATTATCATTATTCCTTTTGCTCTTTTACCCAAGGGTTCAATCTCAAAAGGTAATGCCAATGCCAAGAAAGAACTTAACGGTAATAAGCCTTGCCTTTGATACTGCGCCTTATCACGTCATTTAAGACATCTCAAAGTGCTTCGCAGGATTTACTGTAAATTGTACGGATTGTGTATTTGTTAGTGAACCAGCCACCAATATACATACAGCAACGTAAACACAAACAGCCACGAGGTGAACAACTGATTTTATCTGGGGAGATTGTTGGCCAGGACATCAGGAGAGGCTCCCTTCTCTTTTCATATAGGGATCTTTAACATACATCTGAACAGGTAGTTGAGGTCTCAGTTTTGTGTCTCATCGGCATCTCTGACAATGTGACGCATTGGTTTAGAGCATCAGCCTAGACTATGAGTCCTGATGCGGGCTTGACTCCACAACCAACTGAGCTAGGCTTTTTTTATAATGTCTTGTACATCCAAAAGTCTCACATTGCTTCACGTTTATCATTGTCAAGGCTAGAGACTGTTTTGTCTAAACAAATGTAATTTGTTGTTGTTGTATGTATTTTTTGTGTTGACTAATCCATCGGTCATCTTACTTGTGGCAAAGTGCCACAATAACATTAATAATCCGTGCATTTGATACACTTCCTTATCACGTCTTCGAGACGTCTCAAAGCGCTTCACAGAATATACTGTAAAGTGAATTGACTGTGTATTTTGTGGGCGAAACATGGCTGTCAATTGCACACAGCAGCGTCCCACGAACTGTCGTGAATTGAAGTGACCAATTTGTTTTTATTATCTTTTTGAAGGAATTATTACCCTCGGAAATGTGATCGGCCGATCGACTAATAACCGGGTTCCTACTTACTGCTGGGTAAACAGAGGCGTGTGGAGTAAGGAAACTTGCCCAGTGTTTCGCTCTGCCGGGAATCAAACCCAGGTCTCGCTTGCGAGGCGAGTGCTCTAACCACTGAGCTACAGGACTCCATGAGGTGGAGTCAAACAGCAGTGAGGTGAAGGAGCCATGTATCTGTAGGACTCCGTGCCCAGCACACTGAGATAACAACAAATAATATTCCCACTGGGGCTGTCCGGAGACATTCCATGTACTCCTTTGTGTCCAATCCTTTCGAGAATTGGGTAAGGAGAGTGCGTCCCTACAGGGAGAGAGCAGCGTGTGCCCTCCATTCCAAACACAGGGACATTTCCGTGTGTAGGTGGGACACGTGGAACTCTCGGTTTGGTTTGGATGCTCTTAAGCGCAGCGCTGGGTTTCCGTACGTGTCAAACATGCGGCTGATCAAAAAGAACACTTTTGTGTCCACCCCCGTCTTTTCCTACGCTACATTACAGAGCAATTCAGCCCACCCTGTAGACAGCCGAGGGACATCCTTGTAATTAGAGCAAAAAGGTGTCTCGAGGGGTAGAGATCACGGCCTTTAAAGGTCACTGCTGTAGGATGATTGTCCTTAGAAAAGAAGCCAGACTCCATCTGGGGTGTAAATTCACTGAAAGGTTCACGTTGATTTACGCCAGACTTCGGCTTGAAAGTAGGCCTCGGGGTTTAGCGCCACCTCCTCGGTTAATGAGCTGGCTACTTGGAGGATCAGAACGGAACTGGAGGTGAAATGTCGCCCATTAGATGATGGAGACGCTGCACGCTAACCGCCAGCAAGCCATTTACAGAGCGTTTTCTCCCAGCGGGAGACAGACAGGACGGCTCTGCTGCTCGTCTGGATCGCCCGCTGATCTGTTTGCTACACAAATCCAGTCCCTGCGATCGCATCCGCAGCAAACTGTGCCTCCGTTTCCCTTTGATTTTAAAAGAATCGCGTCTGTTTCCTCGGGTTCGTTGCCGTGGTTACCGCGATGCAATGCAGTGGGAGGGGGTTGGTGGCGGTCAGCGGGGTGGAGGGGGGGGGGGTTGTCTCGCTCAAGTCAATATCTACATTAACCTTGTGTCACAGCGCCAAGCGATTCCCTCTGGAGCAAAATCCCATTAGCCTCGGCAAAAGCCAGAGGGGCCGAGAGTAGGCGGTCGGAGATGTTCCCGATCTCTGTGATTGGGAATGTTGGCCGGTGTATCCGGTCAGTCCCGTCAGTCCGCCTGCCCGGTGCTCCCACTCGCCTTCCCCGCACACACTAACCAGCCTGTTCTTTCACTGGCAGGGATCATCTGTACAGAGTGGACCTGGATCTGCCTGTCATGGACCAGATGCTTTATAACCAAGTAAGTCTTGTGTGTTCACCAGCACTCACGCATACACGCACTCACACACGCACTCACACACGCACTCGTACTCACACACACTCACACTCTCCGACCCACGCACGCACTCACACACGTGCTTACACACACATACACTCACGTGCTTACACATACATGCTCACATGCATGTACGCTCATACACACAGGCACACATGCTCACAGACGCACACGTGCACACACACATTCACTTACACACACGCTCTCACGCACACTTACGTATACACGCTCACGCACACTCACAGACACATGCACGCACACATCTACGCTCACACACACTCTTACATGGAAAGACGCACATGCTCTCAGACACACGTGAACACACACACCCACACGCTCATATGCACACGCTCTCACAGTCACACGTACAGGGTAACACGCCTTGCCTTTATCCCTTGCTTGGTATCTGACCATGTAAAGCACCCCATGACATTATCCTACATGAAGGGCGCCATGTAATAATAATAATAATAATAATCCTTGCATTTGATATAGCGCTTTTCACGTCGGGAGGACGTCCCAAAGCGCTTCACAGAACACACTGTAAAGTGAATTGACTGTATATTTGTGGGCGAACGCGGCAGCCAATTGTGCACAGCAATGTCCCACAAACAGTCGTAGATTGAAAATGACCAATTTATTATTGTTTTTGGTTTTGGAGGGATTATTATTAGGCTCTGTGTGGAGTAAGGAAACTTGCCCAAGGTTTCGCCCTCTGCCTGGAATTGAACTCAGGTCTCTCACTTGCAAAGTGAGTGCTCTAACCACTGAGCTACAGGACTCCACAAAGTCCTGTAAGTAATTGTTGTCATTCAGTGATCATGTATGTGAGGTGAGAATCAATATATGTGACTGGGAAATATCTCTGGGTTACTGTGGCCTCGTTAAACACATCCTGGTTAGCGGTAGTGCGTGTGTTTATGTGTACGTGGCATTGTGTGGTTGGGCGCGTGTGTATACGTGCACTTCTGTGTGTGGTTGTGTGTCTGTGTGTTTGAGGGTGGGTATCTGTGTGTGGGGAGGGGGTGGGTGTGTGAACTGCAGAAAGAACAAGACTTACAGGAAATAATCTGATCTGAACGAATTCTCGGACACTTAGAGGGTGTTGTAATCCTGCTGGGATAATGGGATGGCTTTGATGGCAGTTCTGTGCTCTGATGTCTCGCACCTTCACCGTGGGACACCCACTGAAAGTGTTCCAAACACAAAGACAGCCTTAGCTTCAATCTCACACCAAACGTCCTGTTTGGTGGTTTGCCAACAGGGCAGGGAGTGTTTGCTAGAGGCAGACCTCAGTTTAATATAACACCAACAACATGAGATTTGACTCCACAACCTTGAGAGTCAGAGGTGAGAATGCTATCGACAGAGCCAGGCTCCTGCACATGCCTTGTTGAATTTGGTCAATGTGCAATACTAATGGGCAAATAAACCTACCAGGTTTGCCAATACCTGTGATAATAATAATAGTCTTTGTATTTGATGAAGCGTCTTATCACATCGTTGAGATATCTCAAAGTGCTTTGCAGAACATATTGCAAAGTGAATTGACTGTATTTTCTGGGTGAAATATTGGGATGTGTGCCAATAGCTTCTTGCGTTAAACCCAGTCCTTTCAATTCAAAATGAGCTCCCCAAACCCTTGGCTCTTACTAATCTGCCCATAATTCGTCCAGGGTTAGGTTAGTGCCTCTTGGAAAGGAAACCACACATAGGAACTCTCAGTCGTTGAGTGGTTTCAAGGTGGGAGTCGGACATCCAGGTGAGTGAAACAAAGAAACAGTTGTGTGCAAGACAAAAATGCAATGTCGTGGAAGTAAGCCCTGTGTTTGTGGATGATGTTAACAAGTGAGACCAAATAGATAGATGGTGAAAAGAAGAGGACCGAGAAGAGAGTCTTGAGGGTTGCTGTGTGTTGTGACATCTCAACTGGGACAATAAATTCTCCTAACCTCTCCTGTCGCTCTTCTTGTCTTAAATCTAGGACCTCTAGTCACCGACTCCCCTACCAATAGAAGTAGCGTCTCACCCTGTCAAAACCAATCCCTTATGATTTTTGTCCACTTTTATCGGGTCCCCTCTCATCTCATCCCTCCAGAACACCCACCCTATTGTCCTCCCATCACAGCATTGAGCCATTTTTTGAACAACACCCACTGTCCTGGTCTCAGCCACCCCTAACAACCCTGGTCCAGTCACTGATTATTTTCTGGGTAAAGAAATACTTCCTGGTGTCTGTCCTGAAATTGTCCTTTGCGACTCTAAGCCTGTGTTCTCTTGTTATGCTGTCTCGGTGCATCCTAAATTATTGTTCCAGTTGAAGGCAAAATTGACTATTCTTATCTGGGATCTGTTAAGCCTCATGGACAAACTCTGCGTCATGTCAGTAAAACATGTGAACAAACCATATCCTATGTGCAGAGGTGATTACAGATAATTATGTAATTCAACATTGAAAAGGATTACTTCTCAATGGCAATAATTATTATAATATTTATTATAATTGTTGCATTTGGTATAACAACAATTAATTGCATTTACGTCGGAGGACGTCCCAAAGCGCTGGAAAATAAGGGTTTATATCCTTTTTATTGGTTAATTACATAATTAAGAATACCATAATTTCCTCCTGTGCACATGGTTCCCATCTGCTTGTCTTCTCTCTCAATCACCATCACCTTCTCAAAAATCCATGGAGATGGTTACATATTTGATTTCACGTTAATCTCACCTGGCAGCTATATTTTACCTGTGGCTCCCATCCAGGAAACTACCATGATTTAATTAAGAGGGAACGAAGAAGCAGCCAGATGGAATAGCAGTAGAGACATTCGCTGCACAATCCAGAGGTCGTAGGGTTAAGTGACAAGGCTTCCATTTCACTCAAATCAGTTGACATCCCCTTAATGAGTTTTGTGGCAACCCTCCATTGAGCACTGTCCATCAATAAGAGAATGTTCCATCTCGAAAGGTGGGGGCAGAGGATTAAAAAGAAAATCACGTACCTCGTCTTTTACAGCTGCAACACATCTACCTATTGATCGCCCAACTTAATTCAGAGCTGGGTGATTCCAGGGATCAGAGGTTAGAGTCGTGTGAAGAGACTTATCATCAAGGAGCAGTTATGGGGTTTTGATCAAATGCAAATTTTCCAAGTTAGGAATGGTTTGACAGGGTTAATAAAGCCACCTTCGCATCCTGGCCAACAATCATCCAGGTCACTTACTCAGTCACCTCAAGGCTGTTTGCCAACAAACTACACTTGTCACCACTTGTGCTTTGAGATGTTTCAGTGTTGGTGAAGCATTAGTGTCCATTTTTACTTATCTTGGCACCATTCTAAAAGAGAAGGGAGTTTCTCTCCTAGTGTCCGGGCGACAATTCCCCTGATAAAATTGATCATTCACTTAAAGAGGAAACATTTGCAGGGCTATGGGATAATAGTGGGGGAGTGGGACGAGTTGGATCATAACAATAATCCTTGCATTTGATATAGCGCTTAGCTTCTCGACGTCTCAAAGCGCTTCACAGAATATGCTGTAAAGTGAATTGACCGTATATTTGTGGACGAACGCGGCAGCCAATTGCGCACAGCAATGTCCCCCAAACAGTCATGGATTGAAAATGACCAATTTATTATTGTTTTGGGTTTTGTTTTGGAGGGATTAAAATTAGGTGCAAGGAAACTTGCCCAAGGTTTCGCCCTCTGCCTGGAATTGAACCCGGGTGTCTTGCTTGCAAGGCGAGTGCTCTAACCACTGAGCTACAGGACTCCACATAGCTCTTTCAAAGAGCCGGCACAGACACGATGGGCCGAATGGCCTCCTTCTGTGCTGTAAAATTCTATGATCAGTGGTTAGAGCACTCGCCTCGCAAGCGAGAGACCTGGGTTTGCTTCCCGGCAGGGCGAAATGTTGGGCACGTTTCCTTACTCCGCACCTCTGTTTACCCAGCAATAAATAGGAACCCGGTTGTTAGTTGATGGCATATTCTGTGAAGCGCTTTGAGACGTCTAAAAGACATGAAAAGTGCTGTATCAAATTTAAGTATAATTAATATTATTATGATTTACCTCAAGGTTGTTTGTGGGACATTGCTGTATGCAAATTGGCTGCCAAGTTCGCCTACAAAAATACACAGTCACTGCACTTTACAGTAAATCCTGTGAAGCGCTTTGAGACATTTTGACAGTGGAATAAGGTTCTATCTCAAAAGAAAATTTATTTATTATTATTATCAAAGCAGCAACATTTAGAACACTGGGACTCATTTGGATAAAAACAGCTTGATACTGTGATGGGAGAAAGTGTGGTGGGTATTCTATAGGGATGAGATCAAATGGACCAAAGAGCCTTGTTCATCCAAACCAATTTTATGATCTCAAAAATGTTCTGACATCCTCCTGTTGTCTTTTTACAAATTGAGCTATCTCTCTCTCTCTCTCTCTCTCTCTCTCCCTTTTTTATATTCATTCGCTGGTAGAGTTTGATAAATTTACTCTGACATCTCCACCTTTCAGAAAAGCTGCAATATTCTGTGCTATTATGGAAATAATTTCCGCGCTACCCACTTCACAAGAAAGTGCATGTCTTGTACCTAATAAAATATTCATCCCAGTGCGTTTGGGAGCTTGTTTTAATTGCCGTGATCTGGTTCGGAATAACAAGTAGGACAGATCTTGATCTGTCTTGTGCCTCGTTTCAGGCTACACCTAACAATCAATTACATTGACTGGCCGCGGTATCCACCTCAAATGGGTCAGTTCATTAATGCCAGTTTACTGTCCGTCTGGGACCAGTCACTGATTTCTGTTGAGAATCTGCAGCTACCCTCAAAAATATATATTTATGCAGCGTCCCCTTCACTCAGGGTAGCTTCCCAGGACGCTTGATCGTGGCGGAGCACGGCGCCGAGACAGTGGGGGAGGTGACCGTAGGCACGGTCGAACAGGAAGGTCTTTCGGG